AAGATACAACAGATCACACTATTTGATAGAGCAAATTATCAGTTACAAAACACTTTTCACTCTTCAACATAGTCACCACCATTAACTATTTCATGGTGGTGAACAGGCACCTGCATGCTGCGCTCATAAAAATCTGCACCAGTGGAGGTGACCCACTGTCACAGCTTACCTACCAAATAACTGAAATATCACAGTTTTCCTGAGGCAGGAGCAGAGGAGAACAAAAGTGTTACTATTCACATAGAGGCTTTTGCTGACATGTAGCACGCTGAAAAGGAAGTGTTAACAAACTGACAACAGAAGTGTACAATTGCTACAGATCTTCAAACTTGAGATTGCAACACACAGGGCTTACAACAGCAGAGGAGCTCACCAATTCTATGTTTAGCAGTTGAGGAATACCATATATACAAAAACATTACCTGTAAACCACAGCAGCCCACTGCATTCATTATTGAAGCATTATGAATGACCTGGTATGGGATTCCCAACTTTACTGCACGTAGCACTAAATCACTGTGTGTTGTGGCCCTGTGGTAAGAAGGGGAAAAGGATTAAAGCCTGAAAAGACACAGTAACCAAGGATTACTAGCATAATGGTTTGTTTTGAAAATAAAGTTAAACTCTACTCAAAAAGGACAATGCAAATATGCCGAAAGGCCAAGAATGACTTGAATAATTGTTAGGGAAAGTAGAAACTCACATAACATTTTGATGTGTTGCCTTTAGCAGCTGAAAATACCAAAAGCCCTCAGTACGGTACCATTCCCTGCAGCTTTCTGGGAAAACTCCTAACACTAGGACAAATGTTGCTTTTTAAAGTAGCTTTGGCAACTACTTGAAAATGAAAGTTTCAATTGTCCTTTGTCTTCTGCAGTTGTCTGCTGGACATCTGTTGAACTGTAAACTTCAGCTGTGTTTGGCACAGACTTCAGCAAAACCCCAGTATTTCCTTACTCACTGCACAGCCAGTCCTTCTCTCATTTAGGAAATGCTAGGAAAGCAATTCTCTCAAACGAGAACTTTGAACAAACTGAGGTGAACTGTGCTCAATGCCTTGATTTTGACTGTATCAGCTTTTATAAATATAATCCAAAGGACTTCTCAAACTAAGGGTGTCTACTAATCTTGAGTGATCAAGTTTATTCCGAAGTAACTAAGAAAAATTCTAGTTAAGTTTACAGATGAACTTAATTTGGCTCTGGGTGTACAATGCTCAAAGAACCCCACCAAAAACACCTTACAGTGCCTGAATCAAGAGTCTCTGGGCTGGTAGGTAACAAAATCAGGATTAGAGTCCTTCTAAGATATTGAGTAAAGATAGATCCAGCTAACCTTATTTTTGAACTGCAATAATTTTTAAAGGTGTCTTGCTTGTACATGTGTTTACATACATGATGGGCACTCAGTTTGCCACATAAAGTATGAAAATGTACCTACCCCCTGCCTAAATTTGAATGACTTCAGCCATCTCATCGCAAACATGTACCACACATTTCTGGCCATTCCAAAGGAAAAAACAGCACATGCTGATCAGAATACTTAAGTAGGAAAACTACTTTCACCGTGGCCTGGTTCAATTACTCTAAAAGAATTTCCCTTACTTTTGGTCTGCGAATTTCCACCAATCAGCAGATTAGGAGCACAAATGTGGCAGCAGCTGGTAAGGTTGTAGGGATGAGTCATTAAAAAAAAGAAATCAATTTAACTGAAGGAAAAAATAAAATAGAGGAATCTGGATTTAGGAAATCAAATGACCAAGGGATCAGCTGGCTTTATTCACTGAAATTTGCTCCAGCCAGCACTTTCTCCCAGTAGATCTGTCCATAATGACTGCAGATGAAAGCAGAAGTGGCCACATGGAACATTCAGCTAATATCAGCAAAAGCTTGATGGAGTCAGCCCTCGGCACCCAAGGCTATGCTGGTATATTTTCTGTCACAGATACCACTTTAAGATTTTTATGGGTACTAATAACATAAATATTAGCACAGTCTAGATGAAGGTGGGCTTTCCAGTATAATACTAGAAGTGTCAGGTTTCTGCTAGCTAGCACATCCATGGTTGTTACTATGTCTGCAGGAGAAATGCTGTGAATAACAGCGAGAACTCAACACAAGCACAATTTCATAACTCTAACCATTAACCACAGACACCTGAGGTTTCTTAAATGGCCAAGTACACTTCTTATTGGCAAACTTACTTGAAACTCTAAGATCAGCTGCAGTCACATGGCTTCTACCCAGCTCTCATATGGCTTCTCTTAGGACAGAAACATTCAGGTTTCTTTCCAAAAAACCTCCTGAAGACCTAAATCCTTACAGCCATACATAGGCCAAGGAGCAGCTCTAGCTGCAGTACTGAGGCCATAAGCAATAAGACAGTAGCAACTCATTCTAAGAAAGGGCAATTTTCTACAGTGATGTAGTATGTTAATCAGAATTGAAATACTTCATCACTGAAACTACTGATACACGTGGCAAATCAAGATTCTGCTTACAAGTAGAAATTCCATTTCAACAGACGTAGAGGTTTTGTAGTGTCTTACATCTGTGGCAGGATCACAGCAGAAGGGTGCAGGTAATGCGGCTCCACACTAATTCTAATTTTGATGTTAATATGCACTGGAATGTAATGAATATTTCTGAAATACAGCATTACCTTTCTTTGAATACTAGTTTGATGTAATATTCTATTGCCAATTCCCTTCAACCTGTGTTTACAGAAATTAGCCACTTTTGACAGATATGTACACTGCTCCTATTTTTCATAAACTCTTTTTTTTTCATTCCCAAACAGGGTGCTCAGTGATTTGATTTTTCTTCTGCCCCATAGCACTATGGTATAAATCTTGAATCACCAGCTGGAGACTAAAAGCTCTTCTGTGTGGTTTGACATTACAGATTGATGATGCCTGACCAAAAAGACAGAAGGGAGACCTCCTGGTAATAGGAAAACACTATACCTTTCAATAGTAGTAAGGGGTGGAAACAAAGGGCTTAATAAAGCAAACTGAGGAGACATTTTTAACTACCTAAGTCATTTTAAAGACTAGCATATATCAAATCATAAGCACAGTACAATCAACAGTCAGTGTTGAAATTAAAACAACTGAGAATTACAGCTGCAGTTTAGATGTACTAATCACAACTAAAAGAACACTTTCTCAAAACAGCACATTTCTTGATTATGTGATAACCTTGAATCTTTTCCCCTAGCAGATAAAACGTGGAACAGAATATTTTCTATAGAAGGTAGCATTAAGAATATGTGACTGCTGAGGAAAGATTTATACAGTCCAGAAGGCCCACATTCATATATATAAGGGATGTCTGGGTGAGGAATCTCCAAAGTAAGATGGAAGCATAGACAACTACAAGTATATTCTGTATGCATTTAAAGTATATGAAGACATAAAAAGTGTTTCTGGACTAAAAATCTGTTTCTTCATTAAGAATTACAGCTACGCAGAATGGCCGTTTCCTCTTGAAAGAAGAGAGTGATCAAGTTAGAGCAATAACAAAAATGTTGCTTCAGCTTACCCAAAGGGATCACCAACTACGAGAAAAGCGACATCACAAACATCAGCATCTCTCAAAATGCTATCTGCTTCTTGTTCCACTGTTTCTCGATCAGCCAAAATCAGTTCTTTTCCATAAAACTCCTCCTGGATATCAAGATTAACAAGAAACAGCAATAAGACACTTGGGAGTGTATTTGTATCTCCTGGTGTAATTACTCGCGGATACGGGAAAGGAGAACGGGACATTTATCTCTGGCTGTTTTACCCACATCTTAAGAGAACCGTGCCTCCCCATGCTGGAACACTCAAGGTTCCCATTATGCAGCTCTTAAGCTGACAAAAATTACTCCAGTAAGGACTTGGCTGGAAATGTAGCTCTATCACACCCACACTGACAGCTAGTAGGTGGGCTCCAGGCCTAGTAATAACACCAGTCATCCTATCACAGGGCATCCTTTCTCACAGCTCAGAGCCAACTGCTCAGGCTACTTATAATGGTGACATCAAACCAGATACAAATATGACACTAGCTATACCATAACCTTATCTTTACAGCTTTTATGTTTCCTTAGTACCTTGTAACTAACCACACGTAAGGAATAAATTCATACCAATCCTTCGTCTTCAGTTCTTTGTATGAAATACTTTGCCACATATATGGGTAAATATGTATTTGACTGTGTTCACTTCTCTTCAGCAGCTCACTAATCACTGGGTCTCTTCCTACGTTTTAAACGCCTCGTTTGCACGTTAGCATCAACCTCAGTTAATTACAGAAACATGTTGCCTGACCACCCTGAGCACATGTCTACCTAAGTAGTTTCACCACACTTCTCACGTTTTCTTTACGTGATTAAAGTCTGTTGTTTTTCTGTTTGCTTGTTTTTTTTACCAGGGCATAGATCAACAAGGGTGTTGTATTCTGAACAGCACTCAGCAAATTTGGGCAGCATGACAAATACTAACGGCTACATAAAATTAGTAAGTTATAGTCCAGAAGGATTTTACTCTTGACTTCTCCCGTGTCCTCAGTGCAAGCTTCATCTTTGCCCACAAGCAACTGATGAAAGAACCAGGGCAGATTTTATCTTCTTCTCCCAGTTCCTCTTATAAGCACAGAGAGTGAATGCTGCGCGCGCGCCGTCTGTGAGGACGCGCCGTTACTTTTCCCGGTACCGAAGCCGTGCCGGCAATGCGGCACACGGACGGGCCGGCGGCACCGACCTACCAGCGCCTCCTTCCCCACGGTGAGCACGGACGTGTAGGCCTCCAGGTACACCCTGCGGCAGCGCCGCACCGCCTCCAGCCCCTTCACCGTGATGTCCTTGGCGTCGCCCAGGCCCAGCCCGACCAAATACAGCATGCTGGCCCGGTGGGGGGGTGGCGGCCTTGGTGCCGGGCCCGGTTCCGCCGCCGCCCCCCGTCACGGAAGAGGAACGAGCACGAGCACCGCGCCGCGCCGCGCCGCCCCTCCCGCCGTCCCGCCCCTCCGCGCGTGGCTCCGCTCGGCACGCAGAGGCCGCCGGGAGCTGCAGTGCGCGGCATGGCTGTCGGCGTGCCGGGCGGCTGCCCCGTGGTGCCGCTCCGCAGCGGCCGCAGCGTCCCGGTGCTGGGGCTCGGTAAGTGCCGCGGCCCGCCCGCTGCTGTAACGTGGCGGGAGGCGGCCGCGGTGCCCCGGTTCCCCCGGCGCTCTGCAGCGGTGCCCGTGTGCTGCCGGGTCCCGCCGGCCCCCGCTTCACTGGAGTTCTGGCTGAGGCGAAGCGGCGGTGCCGAGCGGCCGGAGAGCGCTCGGGCTTCTTTAAGTGCTTCTGAATGTGTGGAAAAAGAGATTTCCGTGGGGTCGCGTTTGTTCTGGCGATGCCAGTTGTGGTTTAGGCGGGCAGCGTGTTAAGTGAGCAAAGGGCCGCAGGTTTGCGTTGCTTTCATTTATTGTGAGTGTAAGGAGTTATTTTCTCTCTTGAAGCCTTTACACAGCGTTTGGGGATTTCATTCTGCCTCTTTGAAATCTTTCCCAAAAGCCTCTTCCGTCGACAGCACGCTCTGCAGCACGAGGGCCCTTACCTATCAGCGTTCGACATGCGCTCTTATCGCAGGTCGGTTTGGTATCCCAGGAGCTCCATTATTTCAGATAAACGCACCCATCAAGGGCTGTTACGTGCTTTGTTGGAGCTGTTAATCGCTCACACTGCAGTTAGTCACTCACACAATTATCAAGCTGGGCTATAAAATAAAATGGCCCCTGTGCCCTTTTCAGCTTTATCCTATCTGATTTCAGAACAATGATTTAGGATTCTCATAAGTGTAAAGGAGGGCGAAGTTAGAGCTGAGGCTTTAGGAGCATGTTAAGCCTCATAAGTCAACAGGAGTTGTTTTTTTCATCCATAAATACAGGATGGATGGCTAGAGCTGGTAGTGCTCGTTTCCAAGTACCAAAATCACTTGAGCAGAATTAAAAAGTCTTAGCAGCTCAGTGTCATCAGCAAAAGGGTCCAAAAGGCTACGTGTTGATAACTGCTTGTACTGTGTGTATGTGTGCGCTCGTGAGGATATGGTATTATATACCCAAGGCATGAACTTGTTAGTTTAGCATCTACTACGATTACTTGATGTAGCTGTCCCTTTTGTAGTCCCTATACAATGAGCAAAAGGTTCTGTATTGTAAAGAGTGACTCTTTTTTTCTTTTACTGAATTCCTTTGTTGAATCACTTTTTATCATTCTAAAGATTTTTTTACAAATGCAAGAAACATTTAAATGATCCTTCTTAGAGAATGGAGTCTATCTTATGACCATTGTTTCAGATTTGCTGAACTGCGTTTCAGAATTATGTTCAGAAACCTCACTTTTCCATTGGAGATTGTAATGCATGACTTAGGTAACTGGGAAAAGCAGGCTAAAAAAGTCTCCAAATGGCATGCTGCTTGCTGTCCTTCAGTCATTTCATTTCAGTTAGTACTGAGTAGCTGACTGTAAGGCCTGAACTCAAACTGCAGTAAGTGGATAATGCCATGGCAGACAATTACATTTGAAATTTTCTGGCCCAGTGCTTTCTGCAGGGTGTGGCTTTCCAGAGGTTTGGTTCTTTGACCTCAATTCTCTGTTCTTGTCCTGACAGAGTAACACTTTGACTAATTTCTTATATATTCTGTAGCTTTTTTAGCATCTTGTAATATGTAGGACCCAGTAAGGTAATTTGAAGACTTTCCTGACAAATGCTGAAAAACGCTGCAGATTTAAAAGTAAAAAAAAAAAAAAAAGTTCAAGACTTCCCATGCTCACGTTTATGGCCAACCCTAAATATCAAGATATGCAGCCCAACACAATGGAATATTTATCTATGGATCTATGCTAGGTGTTCCCTCTTAATACTCTTCTACAAATTACTGGCTTGTTTTTATTACAGCTTCACTGCAGCTTAGAAAACTTACTGTCACTGTTTTGCTTGGTTCTGTGATGCTTACTTAGCAATAATGTGGAAAAAAACTTTCCTCAATGAGGAGGCATTTTCTGCAGGATTTAAGATTTGATTGTCTTATCTTCTAAGCATGCAGACATAATTGTTATCTGTGAGTAAGTGACTTTGAGATGATAAACATGCATGCTGCCTCTGTTGCTAGATAATCTTTCTAAAAGCTCCAGAGAGAGAGTTGTGCTGTGTTAAGATAGTTGCAGCTATCCATGCAGTCATGCCAGCTGTAAGGCTGATTAGAAAGATATGCAAGTTATTTCCAAATGATGAAACCCCTTTTATAGCAGCGAGAGTCAGCATGTGAGACATCTCGTGTGCTTTCAGGCAGAGCATGTTACCTCAGAGAGTGCCACAGCAGTCTAGAATAGCATTCTGTCACAAATACCTGCTTTTTCTGTTCAAGCATCAGATATCAAAAGGTGATTTTTAAAATTTATTTATTTATTTTAACTGAGCTTTCTGTTTGTCAAATTGATTTCCATTTCACAGCTCCCTTGATCTTCCAAACATGTAGGACAAGAGCAGTAAGTTTGCCAAGGCTTTATGCAGTAGGGGAGACAGGAAGGCAGGAGGTTAAGCAGTCTTGTGTTAGTTCACAACCTCTAGTGAGAGTGATGGATTTGAGAACTACAGGTTATGCAGCCTGCACAGCTGATGGTCAGTCTGAAGGTTCCTTGGAACAGTATGCCCAAACCTGTACTTTCAGTAAATTCTATCTGTGTTTACTTACTTGCTTATTCACATTCTTTGTTGTCTTTCTTCTGACTCAGTACAGCTGCGTGGCTGCTGGCAGTGTTGAAACAGGCAGTCTTTCCTGAGACACCTGCTGATTATTCTAAGGCAGCCCACCTTTCTGTTAACATACGCACTACAGCTAAGTTTTTATTTAGCAAAGCAAAATGATTTAGAACTTTTTCTTGTTTGTTATGTAAACAAAATGGAGGGACAGTAATCATGGGATTAAGTAAGCAGAGATTTGGTCAAATAGCATGTGATTTCCTGCCAAGATGTGTTAGTAGTACCAAAAATATACATAGAATGTTTTCTTGTCAAGTTGTTTTCCATGTAAATCCTTGAAGAAGCCAGAATTAATTACAACCCAATGAGATGAAAAAAATATAATCTCATGATATCCTATCAAGGTATAAAATGAATTACTGTTTTACATGGGAAGATACTTCAGGGAAAAAAAAACCCTCGATAATGAGAACCACGTTTTTGTATGTGTTGTGCCCTACTTGTGCCACACAGCCTGTGTTTTATTACTTGCAGCAGTGTTTGTAACAGAATTCAATAATGGGTGGTGCCGTTATGCCAGGCGCTGCGATTGGGAAAGCAGGCAGGTGCTGCTCTGAGCAGCTTACAGTCAAATAGCCAAAGCCTGATAGAGAGAGTGAAAAACAGTCCTAATGAATAATGTGACATGAGTTAATTTATAGCACTACGAACTTGCTTTAATTGCATTTTTACTGCATTTGTCCCTGTGTTGTGCCAGCTCAGGAGAATAATACGCACAGACACACGCGCATGTGATCCCTTCATACTCAAGGGGAAGCATCTCTCCTGTCCTGAATTCAGGATGTTCCATATATGAGATTCCTGATGTTCATCTGTAGCTTTATCTACAATAAATTGTAAAACTGAGTTTTTGCTTCCTTTGCTGATTGCAGTGTTTAAATCTCTTATTTGTATCACAACCATACAAAACTTACTGAATTAGTATTATTCTCAGTTTTTTTCCAGGAGAGGTGATTGTTTTTGCTGTGGTGGTGGTGTTTGTTTGTTTTCCTGGAGAAAAATCCCATTACTCCACTTTCATTACCTTGAGTAATGAAATGCTACATGTAACCTGAATCGTAATGCTGAATAGAAGCATTTTAACATTTCCTTCCATTATACACCGCTAATGCAGTTATTTGCTTCTTGATTATTAACCATAAAGTTGCTCATAGTCACTGTTAATCTTAACTGTAAACAAAAAAAGACCCAGTTGGGACTGGAATCAAATAAGATTGTGCTTTTGCTTTTCAGTTTAATGGCAGCAGAATCAAGCTTTCACTTCTGGTTCTCCACTCTTACTGCTTTTCTTTTTTTGTGGCTCTTTTTTCCACAGCTTCAGAAAATTTATGGAACAGTGGTCCTGGTACCAAGACCTATGGCACTCCTCTATATTAATCTTACTCCGTAATAAGAATTGGCTGTTTATTTCTTCCCTTTGTTTTGTGTTTGAGCCTTTTTTTTTTTTTTTTTCCTCTTCTTTTCTAATTCTGTCAGGAATTAACTTCTCAGCTATGGTTACCGAGTTTCCTTAATAGCCTCTTGTGATGAACAAAATGCCACATCTATAAATCTTTGTCTCAATTCATGTACGGTTTCAGAAGGTCTGACTTTGAGAAGTTGTACTTGAGCTTTGAGGGCCTCCATATATTTAACTTCTCTCGTTTGTACAAAATGTGGCCATGTTCCACGTGGGTGGATTTTTGTAGACAGTACGGAGAAAAATGTGGCCTCTTCTAACCTGGTGAAACCTACTGGCTGTCACTTTGTGACAAATGTGGATCTTACAGATGTGCATGTGATGCCAAAGAAATGGATGGCCTAAATGTTAATTAAGTGCATTGTAGTGCCAATAATTACTGTAATGAAGGCCCACAGTTCAACAATGAACTACACAGATTCTTGAGTCATTGGAGCCACAATCCCAAGGCTGGTTTTCTGAGGGAAGATGTCGTAAAGAAAACGTAGGGTGCCCTACTGGTTTTACTTTTGAATCTTACATTTTTAATTGCTCATTAGATGAGCAAATTATTTGCAGCCTGGTTGAAATGAATAGAGAAATGAGCTCCAGCATATTAAACTTTTGCCTTCACCGTGTTTCTGTAATGTAGAAGAATGATACAAAACCTTATTGGAAACAACAACAAAAAAAAAGCCCAATTTTTGTCTTTCAGCCTTCGTATAGCAGAGTTTATCTATCACAGATGTTTTCTTTGCTGGCGCTCCTTAGCATCCACAGTCCTGGCAGCACTGAGCGGTGAAGTCACATGCTGCTGTAACCTAAGTGCAGCAGATCCTTGTGCCCCCAAGTCTGGGGGGAGGCAGGGACTGGTTCCTAAGCTGTCTTCAGTCCTTTCAGGTTTACACGAAGTAC